GATAGATAGATAGATAGATAGATAGATAGATATGGGCACCCTTGTTAATTTTCCTGATTTACCTTTATAAATCATTGATTGTTTGGATTAAAAACATCAGTTAAATATAAATCATGTGGGACATTAGAGAAGTGAAATGACATTTGAAATGAAGCACACATTTGTTTCATAAAACCAGTCTGAACTCATCAGCTGCTTTGTTGCTCCGTGTCTTTGTGAGTTAGAGGTGAACGTGTTGATGTAAACATTGTTTCATATTTATATCAAGATGAGATTTTGTGTTGGATCTCGATACTAGCTTGATTAGAATTGGTTGGTTTCTCTTTTGTACGTCCAGCAAAATACTTCAATTTCTGCTCTTTATCACGTTATTTGCATTTGTGACCTTATTTTTATTTATTGTTTCACAAATATCTGCATGCAACAAGAATGTGTTTTTGTTGTGTTGTGAATATTATTCACATTTTCACATTTTTTGCACTAGTGGGTTTTTTCTATATGTTTTTATATTGTTGTAGTAGTTAATGATACTTCTACAGTCCTCCCGTTTTATTTTAAGGTTGACTTAAAATGATCTCATAAAATTTATACTTGACTATCTACACTTCTTTATTTCTGTACTTTGCTATTCTGCAACTGTTATATCCATCACATTTTCTTGAACATAATCCGCACCACTCTGATCATGCTTCTTCCCTCATTGCTCCATAAAGAAGCAGTGAACGGTCATCAAAGGCGGAGAAATTGTAACATACGTCACTTATCTCTGCCCGCTTCGCGCTCAAGAAGAAGCATCACAGACTCTTCATCGTGGTTGGCGAGACCAAACACTTTAGAAACACATTTCTCAAGTTATAAACTATAGAAATGATCCCTGAWAGTATAGTCTTAACTTTMYRACACAAGTTTCCACCGACCAGTACGTCCGCAGTGACCTTCTCGATCACGGTGCAGTCGTCACGTGTCGATACGATGAATGTAAATTAGGTGAGGTAAAACATGAATTACTTTATAAAAGCTAGAGATCAGTCAAAAGGGATAAAGACTCGTATTAGCTGTGAAATTATATAAAATTGTAACAAGTAATACCCACAATGCTTTTCGGTCGCTYTTCCCTCTTCGTCCCTCATTGGTTGCTGAGATGACACGTAGCGAGTTAGCCTCTTATGCTAACAACAATAGCTGTAAAACTGCTCGTTTATAGCTAAACGCTGAGATAAAACCCAAAACATTAATTTTGATTCAATAAAATTAACACAATCTACAAACGTGAGTGAAAAAGGCACCACATTAACGAGCAGAAAATTACCTTTTGACAAATAAAAAGCTAACTAGAACGAGTGTGCGCCTAGTTTTGTCTTCCTACTGAAAAWTAAATCAATCGTTAGTTCCTGCCCGTACAATGAGATTTATTCCACTTCATAATCATTGTAGGCAGGATCCAGAGGACCCTGTGTCTGCACATCAAAGAAAAGCGTATCACAAGCTGAAGTCTTTGCAGTATTACGTTTAATATTTGCAGATTCTTAGTGGAGAAATCTTGTTCATTGGACTCTACCTCCAAGAACCAAATGTTTTTTTTTAATTTACCTTTTTATTTTTTTAGTTCTATTATTATTCATAATGTGTTCAGTGTTTAATTTAAAAACGGAGATTCTTTTTTTCTTCTTTTAATGTAAGAGGGCTCAAATACTATTTTTATTTTGCAAAACTCAAAAGGCTAAGTGTATTTTTTTTGTAGGAGACACACTGTGAATCAATAGATGTTAAAGTTTGGACTCAGCAATGTGGTGATAAAATCCTCTTTAGTCAAGGCACAAATCATTGTGCAGAGCTTTATGTTTTAATAAATGTCCAGACAAGGATGTAACTCAAGAAACAAACAAAGATGGACATTGGGCAGCATGCGTTCTAGACATAGAAAACAATTTGATTATCAATATTAATATTTATGGATATAATAATGATCAAATCACAACAGTTATCAGGAAATTAAAGTTGAATTATTCCACTGAACATGTTATGGTTGGGAGAGATTTTAATATAAAGCCAGATGAATGGATGGATAGACGCCCTTCAAAATACTTGCAATCTGATCATGGGAGATTTTATGAATGCAAACAAACTCAACGATGTTTGGAGAAACCTAAACCATAACATTAGAAAGTATATTTGGTTTAAAACTAAGGGACAACCAAGATCAATAATTGATTATTGGTTAGCTGCAGATTCCTGAACACATCACTGAAGCCAACATCTCTCACTGCATTAGAAACCTGTGAAAAGACAAAAATAACACTAAATTATTATTGAACTAGATTACTTGAAGTTTAATTCTAACTTACTAAAAATAATAAATATTGTAAAAACATTAAGGAAATAATCCAAGAT